CCGATACATTTAAATGCTGAATGAGACGTTGTGCTTCGCCTCTCAACTTTCCCTTCAAATGCTGCATTTTCTGTGCGTTTGTCAAGGAAGGGTTGTCATGTATACTGCTTTTGTACAGGTCCAGGAACGTAGGCCATTGTGTATAGTCCCCATGGAACGGTGGAACTTCTAATTTTGGCGTAGATTCGAATTGATGCACAGTTGATAAAATTTTCTTATTTAAAAGCCGTTTCATATCCTTGTAATTCTTCTCAAAAGCAGAATATTCTTCTTCATATTTCTTATCTCCGTCGCTTGATACGCTGTCAATTTTTAAATTCAATTTGTCAATATTCTCCCACCGTGTTTGCAAACTTTTTAATTCATCTTCCAGTTCCCATTTTTCTGTTATTTTGTCGATGTCAATATTATTTATTTGGCGTAGTAATGCACGGAAATTGGACTTCTGCTCACTCTTCAACTCGTCTGCTGCTAGCTTCACACCTGCCCCTTCCATGTTGGGAAAGTAGTTCATAAGCAGGTTGCGTATTGTGTCATAAAGATTTTTTGTGTCATTGTAGATATTCTTTACATAGTATAGTAGTCATGTGTTTTTTCATATTCAGAGCAAGAAAGTTGAGCATTGTTGCTGTCAAATTCTGCCCATAAACTGTCAGGGCGATTACCCTTTTTTGTAGGTAATCTTCCGTCTTTCTCGAGGACGAATCCTTATTAAAATTCCTGTGAATTGTTCTGATAGATTCTATTATCTCCTTTTGACGAGCAAGAAGTTCTTCCATTGTTGCACTGGATGTATACTGTCAACGATAATGTCAATAAATGCAGATTAAACCGTTGTTGTTACGGCGATGTCAATTTTCACTGTAATATATTTATGTCAATAAAATGAAGATTAAATCTTGTAAATGTACTGCCACTTATGTCGTGACGATATGCAATGAACGTCTATTCGTTCTTACCGCTGCTGTTACGGTGATGTCAATTTACACTGCAATATATTTACGCACTCACAAATGTCACTGTTTTGTATAAAATGTCACTGTTTTATATAAATGTCACTATGAATTATTGAATTTATGTCAAAATTGTCAAGAATCCATATGCCGATTTTCTTTAGCGATTTTGCACTCTTCGCACGATCGTTGACCGCTCGTCTCAACTTAACTGGTGAGACCCGCTTCTGGGAGGCCAGTTAAGCCGATGCGCTAATCGTACTCTAAGATACAAAACTCACCAAAGAATCAAAACTCGAAGGACGAACATATGAATCCGGCTCGAAGGACCAACATGTACGAGCTGCTTGTCTCGTACAGTAATATGTCAGAATATGTCAGGTGATATCAGCGAGATGATGCAGGGAGATGTCAAAGATGCTGTAGAAATAATACTCGACCGATACCACGGAGTAACTTTATTGTACTGAAAATTATAATTTATACATATTGCACGTGCACAATGTAGGGTGCGACGTTGCATATTGTCAGTTGCACAATAATGTACGTTGACCCGTACAAATGCTTTTGTAAAACAGTTAGAATTATTTTTAAATATTTTCGGCGCATTTGGTTAGCATTAAACAAATATATCAGTTTTCTATGTACACGGGCTCGATGTTCCTCCTTTCATTTCAGGTATGATGTCAAATGACACACCTTCTCTTGATACTGGCGATGTCTATTACGTGTTGGTGGTAGACGCCGGCTCTACGGCGTCCATGATCCATGCTTACAAGTTCTCTCTACCTACAGGCCGACGTAGACAAAGTGAGTGCCTAAAATTATAGACTGTTGGTACCCGAGAATAAGTACTCCGAAGTAGCCTATTCTACTATACTAATTTTCATAGTTTTATTGGTTCATCTTACAAATTTTTGTCCCCTTTCACTCCCTCTAAGATTTAGTTTTGATAAAAAGTAGCCTATGTCCTTCTCGTAGGGCCCATCTATTTCTATACCAAAATTCAGCTATTCAGTTCAGCAGTTTAGGCGTGAAAACGTAACAGACAAACTTACGGTCGCATTAATATTATTAGTAGGGATAAAAAGATATAGTACACAAAAGGCGCAATGATTAAAAAAAATGAATGTTTAATTGAAAAAAAAAAAAACTGAATACTGTCGTAACTTAAAATTGTGGAATTGAGAAAACATTACTTTAAAATAGACTTCTTAGGTTTTTGCGATTGTTACACCTAGGAAATGAAACTATATTTGAAAAAACAAATATACGCGATTTAAATCCGGAAAAATAGTTTAATTTCCTATTACTTTAAAATAAAAAAAAGCGAATGGCTCTTATTGCGAATATTGTGAATGTTTTTATTTGTACTTAATACTTAATTATCCATTTTTAAACGAGAATATTGATTTTCTTGTTTTTTTTCAAATTTATTTTAATATGATTTTATTGCGATATAAATGTGCCAAACACTTGGCAGGCCTAGGCGTAAAATAGGAAAATAAAATAATAAGGTAGGATATTTTTCCAAATTTCAATTCCAATTTCAACGAATTTCGCCATTTCTATGCAAAATGTATGGGAAAATATGCAAAGTATTTTTTTTATTGCAATCATTAATTTTAATTTCGAGTAAAGTCGTTCAGTTTCTAGATATAGATATTTTCTTATTGCAAAGTAGTGACGTAGGTTTACACTTTAAATATTTAGAACAAAAAACATTTTTTTTACCGACTTGAAAAGGAGGAGGTTTTCAATTCGACTCTATTTTTATTGTTGTTACGTGATTACCCTAACATTTGTAAACCAATTTCGATGGTCTTTTTTGTTGGAAAGAGGGTACTTCAGTAGTGGTACCATTCTAATTTGAACAAAATATTCCACCTCTAAGGGTGACAAATTAGGGGATGAATCTGGTTTATTGGATTTTACCAGATTCGGAACCTTTTACCAGATTCGGAAGACAAATTGCTACTCGACGACGAGTTATACGTTGCCATAAAACCAGGACTTTCAACATACATCACAAATCCAATGCAAGACGCGGAGTCTATCGTCGGATTGGTAAAAAAAGTAAATTCCTTCGTGCCAAAGCAAAATAGAGCGAGAACTCCATTGATTGTTCGGGCGACAGCTGGTTTGAGGTTATTGCCTAAAATAATATCAGGAAACATATTACTGCATGTTCGTAATGCTATAGCTAAGTGAGTTTATAATATATTTTTTCTTTTCTGCTCTTTAATCTGTCAATTATAATGTTCTAAGCCATATCACAAAAGCGCTCTGAACCAAAATTTATATCATCTATGGTACCTACTTGCTATTCAATTGGTTATCTGCATTGTTATCTGTATAAACAGTTTAGAGGAGTATATTATGGTTTAGTAGGTACGCAGATCTATAATGAATTTAAAAAAAAGAACGTCGTATTTTTGTTCATTAAAAGAGTCTCCATAAATGCCTCACTTGGTTCCTGAACAGAATGATGTCACCATATTTGTGGAAATATAAAAATTTAAATATTTTTTTTAATTACATCTCAAAATGTTCTATAACCAAAATAACTATTTAAAAACAATATCGAATATGACGTTCCACAAACGCTCTACTGCCTCCTGATTGGTTAAAATAATAAGCGGTATTTTGTCAGTCACGGACACTGTAATTAAAGCTGGGTTATAACGTCTTTATCGAAAAACGAAACGAAACGGTTATTTTCTAAAAAGAAACGCTTTCCAGAAACAGTTACAAAAAAACGCTTTTCCTAAAAAAAACTAACCTCCCTTCATATTTTCCAGGCCTAGATAGAACTGGTTGACGAAATGTTCAGGCGTACTGTAGACGGTCTAATTTGTCATAGAAATATCAACTGAATGCATCTAGCATAAGATCCACAACATTTCAATTCTATAATAAATGGTGATGTGGCAATGTGCAACGACGCTCGTTATGCAACGCGAGTGCACCGTGAGTTATGGGATTTTGTGCGTTCGTACAAGGTGCGTGTTGGGCGCGCACACATACAAGTCGTGCTGAGACGTTTGTATGAAGTTACTACGCTTTTCTTATTGTACTATGGGTCTAATACTCTAATCTTCTGATATCTAGAATGTATGATGACAATTTTTTTTCTTCAGTCTAGGCTATAAAGTAACCCAACATAGTGTCGATATATTACAAGGAAAAGACGAAGGTATCAATATGTGGTATGCTGTGAACTTGTTAAGTGGTACAGTAAAATTAAAATTATAAGGGTCTTATCACACTGGCGATGGCTGATCGAGTTCAAAGCGAGGGGAGACCGCGGCGTCTTTGTCGTGAGTTCTCAGGGGCAACGGCGCTACGTTTTCGCTATCTGTGCGCGGCGAGCGGCGAGAATCCATTTTGTACTGACTGCTGTTATTTTTAATACTTCGAAAACGCAGGAAACGATAACAAAAGCAAATATAATTTAGGAGGATCTATTATCAATTAATCGACTAGAACATACTAACACTAGTGTTATTTTGAACGAGTCAAAAATAATCCTAAAATATGTGGGAATTTCGTTGCATCTGATAGAAAATAACTTAAATCATGAAGACGCACACTTAAAATTGTCAACCGAAGGAAGGCTTTTAATTACTACAAGGTACGTTATTAAATACACAACGGAATTAACACTTTTTACTTCTTTATTTACGGGTGATCATAAAAAAAGTACTAAATTATAATGACAACATGAAAAAATAATAATCATCATTAACGGTGCTTAAATTATGGCAGTTGCATCACAGTTGCATAATGGTGTACAACATGACGTCTATGGCAGCGTGGCGGTGGTGTGTTCGTTAAAGCGCTCGCGGAGTTCCCGCTCGAACTCGCGGCTAGCTGCCTCCGAAGCGCTTTCGCCTCGTTTTTATTATTTTATTTAATACTAATATTCAAGTTACAAAACCCCATAAATATCTACCTTACAGAGTAACATATAATAAAACACTAATGACCAATATTATTATTTATGATTTACACGTATTATCTGCGACGTGTGACGCAACGCGGGTGTCCGATAGCCGGCTTCGGAAACGTCGGTACATGACACCCTTCGGCACAAAATCATCCTTCATCAAAGTCGACAGATATGGAGTTGGTACTTTCACCACAAATTAATTAAAATTCACATTGTGGTGGGAACCCAACTGCTCCACGCTCAGAGTAGCATTGGCTTTCACCCGTATATGGACCAGAATTTCGACAGACTTGGTGGAGTAAAGAAGCCGTGACACGTATAATAACTTGGTCGGTATCGCTGAATGGAGTAAAGGTTTAATCTAATCTAATCTAATCTAATTTAATCTAATCTAATCTGATCTGATCTGATCTGATCTGATCTAATCTTACAATTTACAGGTCCCATGTAAGTCCAGTCCAGTCCAGTCCAGTCCAGTCCAGTCCAGTCCAGTCCATTCCAGTCCAGTCCAGTCCAGTCCAATTTCACTTCATTTCATTTCTCTTCACTTCACTTCGCTTCATTTCATTCCATTTTCATTTCATTTTAGTTCACTCGTTTTAGTTCAAGCCGTGACACGTATAACAAAGTCGTCGGTATCGCTGGACACAATAAATGACTAGGGCCAGTCAGGGCGGTGCCACTAAGGTTACGGCTGGTGTATTTCTTTTTCCTTTCCACCTTTTTGAAACCGTCCTCGTCGCACTGGTCAACTCTTCTCGGTGGTACTGACGTCACAGCTCCAGATATGAGTTTTCGTTTCTTTTTCATTTTCGTCCCCTTTGTTGGTAACTGCCTGAGTTGTGGTTGTGGAGCACTGAGTCGGTTATAAGTCGCCAGTGTGATAAGACTCTATGGAATTAAGTTTTCAGTTTTTCGTAATATTTAAAACAATGCCTTTAAATATTTAAACGATTGTTATAATTATAGATACCCTGGGAAAGAAAAATCCATTGTCATCTCTAGAAATGGGCGAGGTGTCTGCCCAAGTGACGTTTGCGTTGAATCCCGATGGCAATTCTAATCATTTATCAAAGGACGAGTTTGTGAGACCTGCTGTCTTTAATCGTACACTTTACTCTCATAGGTAAGAATCACTTCCTTACTTATGAAAATAAATCGCATCGTTCGTTGATGTAATAAGACCACATCTACTAAATGACAACTTTTTAGGAGAAAGGTTTTACACGTCACGCGTCCTAGCTAGTACGTACAGTGTCCCTAAGGAATTCCGACGAACCAGTTACTTATTTATTTAACAATTTATTGCACAGGAAAAACAAGCAAAAGGCATTGCTTATTTCTAAAAAAAAATCTTTCTGCAGACGTAAAATACAGGACACAGTAATAACGGGTTTATGTGCACAACAAAAAACAAAAATTATATAATAAAAAAACAATATCAATAACTGTGCAATAACTGTAAAAAAAAATGTTTGAAAAAAACAAATATACGCGATTTAAATCCGGAAAAATAGTTTCATTTCCAATATCAATAACATTAAGTCATATATCTATCCTAAATCTCTATCCTATGGTTGCCTGGAAGAAATCGCTATATAGCAGAAATCGCTATATAAGGCCGCCTGTTGCACATTATATCTACTATTAGTATACTTAAGTTACTGTATTGTGATTTTAACTGTGATTTTAATTGTAATTTTACGTGCAATAAATAATATTTCATTCATTCATTTCTTTCAAAATACTTAAACTAAATTTATATTGAATGTCAGAATGTTCCACCATGGTATTCAATTATTTTTTGTGCAATTACTCCACTAGTTTATTATAATTATTAATACAAAGATAGAAACTTAGAAAAAACTCCGGCTTCGAATCGACGTCTCCTAGCAAACCGTGGCAGACGCTATGCCAACCAAGCTTAGTTCGAGTCCGGTCGGATTAAAGGAATTTTAACTTAGATTTTTTTATTTTTACTATTGGTGTTCTAAATTTAAACTTTTTAAAAATGGCATTCTAGAACGCTACACAACCAAAACCGTAAGTGACACCGTGTGTCTCTAGATCGCACGACGGGTTAAAGATTCTACGAACGAAGTTACTCGATAACTTTTTTACGCTTAAATATGGGAGTTATAAAATTTCACATATTTATACGTAATTCGTTACATGTAGGTAGTTTTATTGTTACGACTTTCTTGTGATAATAACATTTTGATGTATAATCACATGTGACTTTATTATACTAAGTGTGTTAAATAATATAGCCGGAAGGTCTTTATTGGACTATTGTGTATGTCCACAAGCTGTGTTTCTCTATACATCTGTCCGACTTTGTTTTTAACCGACTTCAAAAAGGAGGTTCTCAATTAGACAGTTTTTTTTGTATGTTGCACGATTACTCCAGAATTTGTGAACCGAATTTATCATTATTTTTTTTTTTTATTGGAATGAGGTTACCTGAGTATTAGTCCTATTTAAACTTGAAGAAAATATTCACATCACCTCTTAGGGTGGCAAAGTACTGGATCAATCCGATTTCGCGCACTTTCTGGTAACAGATTTTAATAAAAGTTGGCAAATAGATGTAATTGTAATTTAACTGCCTCCGTGGCCGAACGGTTACCATGCCGGACTGCCACGCAGAGGTCCCAGGTTCGATTCCCGTGCCGGGAGAAATATTTGTATGACCTACATTTATTTCTCTCGTGAGTTTGGGTGTAATTTGTGTTTGTCTATGTGTGTGTCCATGGCACCCGCGACACAGGGTTTCCCTAGTGCGGGGCTATGTTGAGTGTGTGCGTTAAAAGTTAATTCCATGAAGATGTGAGGTCTTTTTTTTTATAAGAAAGTGAAAAAGCCAACCTATGAGGGCCGTTTGTTATAATAAAAGCGTTAATACTTATTGAGTCTACAAATTGTATTTACATGTAATTAATGAAAACAATTTCAGTTACCTAGGGCTGGGTATCGAAGAAGCTCGTTTTGGCACACTTCAGTTGGAAGCTGGTGATGTCAGGACTGAAAGTTTCATTTCTGTTTGTCCGATGATGGTCCGATGAAATATAAAAGCAATATTTTCGGTCGAAACGTACAAATCAGGTAATTATTGTAAAAGTCACTCGTAATTAGGTATTATAACTTTTACGAAGGTCACTCTGAAATTACGGAAAAAAACAGTTATTAAGTTCAATGTCTACTACTCAAAGATTCATATAAGTTTAACACTCTAACATTTAGTACGTTAAAAATACAATAGTTAAGTGTTACGCAAGGCTTCAAAGTTGTTGTTTGACGCGAGTGCTCGTATTGAAGCCTGAACAAGCGAAGGATTAAAAAATATGTAGATTCCTGAGCGTATCGAGGGTTTCAAGCCACGAGATGCAAAACAACTTTGCTGCCGAGCGAAACACAACTTTCATTCACCTCACTATAGCGAGGAAGATGGCAGATGAAAGAAAAACAGTCGAACTATATTTTAATAAACAAAAAAAATGTCGCTGTCAATTTAATGTTAACAATAATAAGAATAAAATATACTAACGGATTTAAATGACATAAATAATGTATGACAAATCGCTTAGATGCACATGTCATAGTGTTTGTTTTTTTCATTGAAAGAAAAAGTTAGGTACACCACAGTCCATAGTCAAGTTCCAATTTTAAAAAACTATTCCACTCTAGCGTGGAAAAAACGCTATTGCGCGCAGATTTCCAATGAGAAAGAAAAACTTTCCGAGAGTGAGGTGAAAAATATATTAGGCGAAGTCATTCATTATGAACAATGTATTAGATAATTAAATTCAAAGATTTGCACATTTTCTATTATGATACCAAGGGACGAGATGAACAAATCATGCTCCAGGTGACAAGCGATACACCTGTTCGTATCAGTTGCAGTACCACTCAGAGATTTAAATCGCAAAGATTTGCACGGCATTGTCACTGTGCCCGTCACCTTGAGACATAAGTTTACAAGTCACATGTGCCGGTAATTTCACCAGTACCCTTACCCTTCTAAACCGGAACGCAATCATGCTCACATTACTGCTTGGTGGCAGAAATAGGTTAAATGGCTGTGCTTCCCTGGATGAACACTTTGAGCATTTCATGGAACGCATAACGTTAAAATCTACTCGACGCAAATTTGTTGAACGTTCTACTTTATTTTCAGTTGCCCGGTTTTATTCACGTTAAGAAGAAACTTACTTATGGTGGGACTTATAAACGAATGTTACATTTTTGTTTCAGTGGTGTTTCTCGCGAAGGTTACTCTCCAAAAGAAGTGTATCTGCGCTGTCGGAAGTTCGTAAAGGAGTACATCAAGGCAGTAATGACAAATTCTTTACGACTAAGTAGTTTAAAGAAACTTGCTGCCATGGGATATTATTATCATTTTGCTAACAAAGAAGGACTTATCCGTAAGATATCGATTTTTACAGGGATCGTACAATGATAATAAGTAAATAGATAATTACATATAATAGATGAATAATAAATATATGTCGGAGTTAAGTCCGGAAGAGAGACATCGAAGGAAAAAACCTCAACGCAGATTTAGTCAAGAATTATTTGATAATCGGCTCATTCACTGTTCGTTATTAATTCGTTCAGCCGGTGGTGAAATAGTAAAGTCACCTGAATGCAATTAGTTATTTTATGCACTTTTCACAGTAATTAGTCCGAAAGTATAAGATACGGATAAGGTTAAAACGAATTCTAAATATCACGCGGCAAGTTTAAAGAGGGTGAGGCGGTAAGTCTTCACTGTTCAAGCAACTTTCACAAAAAGCCCCCTCTCTCCGACCATGTCCAGTTTGAGTTGTCGTGACATTTGCAAACAAAGAAACCATGATCGAGACTAGTTAAAATAAGAATAAATCACGTTTGAAGTGATAGCTGGCTCCGATATACATATTTAATTATTACTACTAATCCCGCTGGATTTTATTCAACGCCTTTAGCATACCGTGTCTGACGCTCTCCCAACTGAGCTACGGATCAAACCAACAGACCCTACGAATTATATTATATGTGAATATATAGAAAAGCTTTCATAGATTTCTCACAGATGGCGTTACAGCAAAAAAGTCGTTAATAACCAAAAGCAAAGATCTCAACAAACATATAGAAAAATTCGTAAGTTCCGCCAGTTCTTTCCGTGGTTTAGTTGGCGTGGCTTGACACGATTTACTGGAAGACGTTGGTTCGAATCCAGCTGTTCGATCTTTGTATTAATAATTATTACAAAGGAGTGGAGTAATTTTACAAAAAAAAAAAAATTGAAATCGTGGTGGTCAAACATCGTGATAATCAACAAATCTAAAAAAATTATAACTATACGTCTCACCCCTGAATGCGGGTCTCCTCTTAAACGAAGTTTTAGACCATAGTCCGCTGCGCTGACCCAATGCGGGTTGGGAAATCACACGTTTTCCACAGGTTGTGAACCTTCGAAAACATTTTCTTATTGTTATAATTATTAATTCTTATTTCTCTTCGACTTTTTAGTCGTAGCACCATCTATGAAGTATTTATCACCCAGTTAGTACCTTTACAGTTACCAGTCCTGGCGAGAGATGTCGCTATTCGCTGTATTTAAAATTTTTATTGAATTGATATTCAATTATTTTTTGTGAAATTACTCCACTAGTTTGTTATAATTATTAATACAAAGATCGAACACTCAGAAAAAATTCCTTCGATCCGGCCGGATACGAACCGACGTCTTCTAGCTTACCGTGCCAGACACTATACCAACTAAGATAACCACGATATTTATTGAGTTCTTAGGTTTTTGCGATTGTTACACATAGGAAATAAAACTATTTTTCCGGATTTAAATCGCGTATATTTGTTTTTTCACATGGTCCCATGGTCACGGTTGACTGTCAACCGTGACCATATATAAAACATGTGACTGTCAGGTCGCACGTCTGAGGACAAATTCGTGTAACAATAATGGAAACATGTTATTATTTTCAGTTATACCACGCTATTGACGGATACAGCGTGGAATGGTCTCTAGGAATTGCTTATAACTACATTATGGCAGAGATTACGACGAAACCGGGTCTTGGTGAAGTGCATAATTATCCACAAAACATATTGTTAAACTCTAGAAAATAAAACCTATACGTATTTTATTACCACACGATGGCGGAAGTTTGTTTAGCACATACATACGTTAATTTTCCTTTTACAGTATTGTTACTCTACAGTGCTTAGTCACATAATAACTAACCAAGTGTCGATAAATATATATATAAATATATATATATATATATATACTTTTAACATACTTGGAAATAAGGGATTGAAAAAGTTAAATATATAAAGTTTTAAATAAGTATTTATTAAGAACCATTTATCAGATACAATAAAAATGTTAACACTAAATGCTCTTTTAACACTTGAGTCGCTTCAGTCTCGTCTAAAATGGTTAATATTAATAAACTATTATTACTGATTATTTATTGATTAGTTTAAACCAATATCAAGTTACAATGCTTGACATACTACTACTGAATTAGGGAAAAGTTAGGTTATATTAAAGGTTGAACCACATTCTCCAGCCGGCAACTGCACCGCGTCATAAAAGCTGTTTTGTAAGTTGCATACTGAATAGTGGCTTTGACTGATATGAATATGAATGGCAGTATAACTGTAGACGGGTTTTCCGTGACTCTGGTCGTTTCTCCGCTACTCAGGCTTTCAACTGACATTGATATTCTTTCAATTCGAACATCAAATGCGTAATGGATAAGCGGATATGTTAAACTGGGGATTTGTACACTGTTGTCAACAGCCGAGTCATATGTTTCGAATTCGGCCACGTTGCGGGTTAACAAAGTTAAAAACTGATGCCTTATACCATTGACTTACAATTATATGGACGTCGGGTCCGCGCTAAAAAGTGTCCGCACTTGTAAGGCGCTAAAATCGTATACAGAGCGCGACACTCCGCTTTAGTCTTCATTTGTTCTACTGACGGTACTGCGATGACATTACAATTTAAATTTCGAATAGGTTGACTTGGGACATTTTTTTCGTGGTTTTTGTATTAGACCCGTCGTCCATTTATTTGTAAGTCAATGCCTTATACCTACAAAATTTTATAAAAGGATTAAATCGGATTTTATTTGTCTAACGTATCGTCTCTTGATGCGCTCTAACGTACTCACATGTATATTTCGTGACCTGATCCTTCTGACGGTATTTTCAATCAATAGCCCCCTTTACACGGTCACTCTATTGCGCGTGATCAGGAGCGTACAGGATTGCGCGCTGAAAAGCCTGCACGCGCAATCTCAAGCAATATTTAAGATGTTTTAAGCTAACGTTCTTTCGAGCGTGATTGCTCGTGTTACTTTTTGTTACATCGGAAAGAGCGTTCGTGCAAAGGCTAATTGCAGCGCGTGACTGATGAGCACAATTGCGCGGTCTTTCCCTTTTCCTTCCAGCGCCCGTATACGCGCGCTCAATCGCGTATATTGTTACATTTTGAATCATACTAGACGTTACGGGTGGATATGACGCGTCACAATACAAGCCTAGCGCGTGCACATTTGTCTGTTCAGTCGTGACGCGGGCTTTCCGACGCCACCACCTCACCTGTCCTGACACAGATCAAAATTGATTCTGATGCGACACAGCACAAGCCATCACAACATATGGTGACACACTAACATAAATCTCATCATGTAAAATGTATGTACCCAATGCCGTTCTGACGCGTCACGACATGACACGTCAGACAAATATAAATCCGAATTTAGTATTACAGGAATGTAAGATTTCAAAAGATTCATCAATTTATTAAACATGCATAACCTACACAAATAAACTGCAGTGTGCTGTTATTGTGGTATGGAAGGCTGGATTGCATTTTGTGGTGCCTTAAGGCAAGTCGAAACAGTTTTCATTCTTCCTTATTATAAGGTAGGTACAATTTTTCACCTTCAATTTAAGTGTACAAAGGAAAACACATCTAAATTCCTACTTAGTAGAGTCATTTTAACATATAGTTAATAAATACAAACGAGTACTAATGATATAGTGTCAATGAGAGTCTACAGAGTCTACTAAAAGGGACAAAGCATATCAAGCGTAAACAGCACAATTTCTTCTACTTTTAGTAGGTGTCCAGCTTTATTAGAACCTCAGTAGCGTTTAAGGTTGTTAGTAGAAAACATTAACGTGTGAATTTACGCCCAATCTGCGCCGACCCTAAGTCCTTAAGTTAACGACAATTTAGTACAAATATTTGAAAGATTTCTAACTACCTACGATTCTGAGTAACTTTACAATTTTATTTGCTCTATACCTCAAACGGGATATATGGAGGAAGAATCAAGAAATACGAACTGTCACTTTGCATGTTTTATGTAACGATGTAAATAACATTTTCAATAAAGAATTTTGACAGTATGTATAACTTTTGCTTACAAGTAACTTTGAAAATGAGTTTACTCGTATCATATAAGAGCAATATGAAAAACAATGAACACTTGAAGAATATACATTTTTAGTAAGAAACAAACTAAGAAAGCAACACGAAGAAAATTAAATTACTTTCAAATTTCAATTGCAATTTTTTTTATTAAAAATTTCATTTATAATGTCACATATAAGCGACTCCACTCCGTAGTAACGTTTAGAATATTTATTTACAAGGAATTAGAAAAACTACTGTTTACAACTAAGAAGTTTGAAAATTGTTGGTTGACTTTTCAACGAGAATGTTATAACATTTTATGATTATTATTGTAAATATTTGTATACAGTTAGGACCCCTTCAAATTAGAAGTTTGCAGATGCGATGCAGTGGCGCCACTGTCACGCTTCCGCCGCGCCACTACTAATTTTCATATAATATTTAGAAGCGCAAACTATGCAAATCGTGACTCACGCGCGCCACCTTTGCAGTCACAATAAGTGAATTAAATATTACTGAAGCACAACAAACCCACGGCTGCCGCGCCACAGTCACGCCACTGGAGCGCTTTTATAAGCGTCTAATTTAAAGACACCCTTATAGCCAAGATACAGAATATACGACATAATATCGTGTACTCTGTATCTTAATAAATATAGTAATCGTGTATTTTTTATAACAAATAGCCAACCAGGCCGCCAATGTGCCAAAAACTTAAAAAAGTAGAAGATAATCACAAAAATTACATAGATATTTGTAGTTCTTTTAAAATGAGAAATATGCAAGTTTAAACCACAATAGTAGGATCCTTTTAAATCCGTTTAATTGTAATATTTAGGACGCCTTCAAATTAGACGCTTATAGAAGCGCTGCAGTACTTATTTTTTATACAATATTTAGAAGCACAGATGCAGCGCCTCTATCGTGACACAAGCGCGCCACTTTTGCAATCACAATTAGTGAACTAAAAACTATTGAAGCGCTACAGATGCCCGGCTGTCGCACCACAGTCAGCGCTGCAACAAGCGTCTAATTTAAAGGTGCTCTTAGGTCACTTAGAGACAACACGTTCAACCTCGTCGAGCTCCCACTACCAACTCACTTACAGGTAGACGACTATACCACCATTTGTGTTATTATATCTTCTAAGTTGTTTTAATACACTAAAGTGCGTATTCATCAACTCACGCCTGCTAGTTGCTATTGTGCTGCTGGTAGTACATATTATTGGTTTTTAAGAATTAATAATTCGTACCCTAGATGTTATAAGGCCACAACTGGAAAACACAACTTTTCGAGTGAGAGGTTTAAAGATTCTACGAACATAATTAATCGATAACTTTTTATGCTTAAATAGGAGAGTTATATTATACATAGTTTGTTTCCTGTAGTTCATATTGTTTTCATGTGACAATATCACTTTTTAACGCATGATCACATTTGGCTTTATTATAGCAAGGGCGCGAATTTCAACTTATGCCGATTATTACACAAATACGTAAAAAATACACGATTATCTTAATGACATGGAATTATTTCTGAACTCACAATACGAATATTAGAGCGCCTTCAAATTAGATGCTTGTAGAAGAAAAGACAGCGGTGACGCGGCAACCGCGGCAGTAGCGACTGTGGCGCTTCAGTAATTTTTAGTTCACTTATTGTGACTACAAAAGTGGCACGTGGCACCACAGTGGCGCTACATCTTTTTTTTTATAATACGTGACGTTACAAATAAGTAATGAGCCTGGTAAACCGCAAAGATCAAAGGGACACTGCCACTAAACTCATTAACCTAAGACATATGTTGACAAGTCTCATGTGCCTGTAATTTCACCAGTACACTTCAAAACCAGAACGCAGTAATGCACACATTATTGCTTGGCGGCAGAAATGGGTAAGGTGGTAGTACTTCCCTGGACGAATTCTTTCACAAAGAACTCTACTGCTACTAAACTGCGCCTCTAAATATTATATGAAAATTAGTAATAGCGCGGTTGCAGCGCCAGAGTGGCGCCACTACAGCGCTTTTATAAGCGTCTAATTTGAAGGCGCCCTTAAAGTTTCTGAAGGCAGTAAAGTAAAAACGGTTATACACAAACACGAAACTTTGCTTCAATCATGCAAGTTTATGCCGATAACCTCTTTTTAATTGATACTGTGCTAATTTTTGAGTTCACGATTTTGGTAATTGTTCGTTTTTATGGAACCATCTGTTTTTCCACAAAGATAAATTATTTCGCATAGTCATAGAAATATATCATAAACAACACGATTACAATAATTATGATTCATAAAACTAGCGATTAGATTTTTAACATGAAGAAGCATAATTGTTAATGCTAGTTTCAGCACTTTTTTAAGCGTACATAACTTAAAGGATTAAAAATATTGACTTATACGTAACAAAAAAAAAAATTTACAACTATAAAACAAATAGTAGTATGTACTTATCGATTTTAAAAGTTTTTGTGATTGTGTTACATATTTGAGATGAAACTATTTTTTCGAATCTACAGTCGCGTATATATGGTTTCTCAAATAAAAAAGTTTAAAAAATCAAATATATGTAATTGTGGACCCGAAAAAATAGATTGATTATCTAATTTTTTATTGTCGTTCATACATAGGCCTATGTAAGAACGACAATAAAAAAAAATTTGCATGTATGCTTTTTCGAATTTTGACCCAGGATATTTCTAAGGGTAGAAATTAGAGGCACAGGGAAAGTTTTTCAAAAAGGCAGAAATGGAATTGAAATGAGGGAATTACAATTTCTTGTACCAAAAGAGGTAATGTTCTCCATCTTCCACGAGGAGGTCATCTACACCTGAAAAGGAAACCATATTTTTAAATGAGTTTGTGATCTGGTTCGTATTAGGAAAGTTTCAATACTTTAACTAGCAGTAACATCGGGTTCACTAGAACTTAGAATAATTCTGATAGAAAAGATCGTTTCCTGTATTAGTTGTACCAGAATTCGGACCCGGTACTTGTCACATAATACCAGGTATTCTTTACCGCTACCATCGCGTATATAACCAGAAATAGAGACGAAATAATGGCCATCCATCCCCGGCATCTCATCATACAAATGGGCCTTATATCACTTTTAAATATCAACTCTCGTATGCGCTAGAATCACAAATTAGAAAGCTGAAATAGTACAACTCCAACAACTGACCTGTGTGTACGTCTCCGTATATTCCAAAAATATTCTGTATTTATTGTAATGAAAATAATATTTCTACTAATGGGGGACTGTTCCATTCGGTAGTGTGGGAACAACAGCTAAATAAATAGCAGCTAAATAAAAAGATATGTGTAATTTATCAATTTTCGTCCATTATAGTAAAGCTCACCCGTCAATTGTTTCGAATTCGATCTGGCTAATTGGAGTGCAGTTGTCGCCGTAATGATTTGTTATAATAATTTTCAAACGAATTAAATGACATTTCGTCTCTATTTCTGGTTATATACTCGATGACCGCTACCCATCATGAACGTCACCGTTTAGTATTGTTATGGTTTAGTTTAGAGGTTGGGGCGGTATTGTTTTCTTCTTCCATTCTATCGCAAATCATATCGTTAATATCGATGGGTCCTTTGTATAAGGGCTAAAGCACTAAATCACAATTTTAGAGGAGAAGCTTCCAAACTTTCAATCTAGTATATTTTTAAGATGTCCTTGTATTTCGAGGTTTCCTTGAATATGTTTGATTTTGTAGTCTAGACTTTATAGTCTACAAGGTAGCGTCAAAATACTGGTTTCAATAATGAAATGAAGCAGCTCCCACAAAAAGTATAAATTATCAAATTTTTAGTTTGGCCCTTAGGACTTAGGACCCATCGGGTATATCTACAAATATACAGATACATTTCAGTTATCCCTTTTTTAACTTACAGATAAAAAAAATAAACGTGAAAGAGCAGGGCTTCTAACACAAGTAAACTTTATTTACAACCTAACTATAGTCCTAACATCGGATATTGTAAACATGTTGTCTACTAAATATTTTTTTTTTATATATCATTTACTCCCTTCGTATAGACATGTTATAATAATTATAATACACCCACCGGCACATTTAGCGAAACTCAAAAATATTGCAGTGTTCTTTTCAAAAGACTGACCTTTTATTTTAGGTCCAATTTGAAAATGAAAAAAAAAAAATTGGTTATTGTCATTTTTTCATTAATTTGTTTTAATTTCCTATTAATAATAGGTTTGTCGAACGGTTAAAGGTCGATTTTGCATTCCTGTTTTCGTAAACATTTGTTGAAAAATAATTTTTAAAAGAATTTATTGTAATTAGTCATTATACCCATCAACTACTCACTAGATTTTCTTCAAAGTCGCGGCCGCGGACTTTGAAAAGAAAAACTAGCCGCTACAATTACGGTCACTCGCGGTTAGTCGCTTAGTGAAGAATGGCAATTACAATTTTTGAATTTTAACCAAAAAATGCATTTTCATCAATTTCAATAAAAACTCCAAGATAATGCAGTCTTTTGAAAAGATACGTCGGAAAATTGATTTTCTATTTTAAGTCTAAAATAAAAAAAAAATCACTGTCCGTTATTATTTTAATTAAGTTGTTTTAATTTCCTATTAATAATAGGTTTGTCACCATTCCGGTGTGAGGTACATTTTACGTTCTTGTTGTACATTTCGTAAACCTAATTTGAAATTAATTTTTATTTAATCAACTTTGATTTAATCAATATCATAAAAAAAAATGCATTTCGTTTAATTCCAATTTTATTAAAGTTTGAATAATGATTCGATGTTAATGTAATTGCTACTTCATGACTAATTTTTATTGATTCAAATATTAACGTTGTTTTTTGTGTTCTTATTTTTTTCCCGCTAAATATGCATTTGCAATGTACGTGTTTTGATAGCAATATTTATAATATTTCATCCGATCCACACACTCGTTTTCAATATCCCCGACTAATGCGATTTTCATTTTCCTTACCACGTCAGTATCATACTTCGCAACTTTTTCGTAACTTCGAAACTTTTCGTCTTTTCCGTCAATACAATAAGCATTTATCTATTCATGAGGCTGCCGACTATCCAATAAAAAACTAACTTACCAACAGGAGCAACAAGCTGGTTACCCGGTGGGCTCACGGGGTCAGGGATCTCTGGCAAACGATACAGCAGCCAATAATGATAGCCCATGGGTTCCTCCTTATGCCCAGCCAGGGTGTGGACGTAATGCCCGTTGGGCCATTCGCTGGCTTCGAACTTGAACTTCGGGTCTTGGTCTGCCGCCATTTGCATTACGTGGTAGAATGATACGTTTCTGTAAACACAACAAAAAATCAGTTACAAAATTGTAGATATTAAGTGAAGTGGTGTTTCTTTTGGTATGTTCCGCTCCTCAGTGTGACCCCCTCTAACAGCAGCGACGAGGGAGGGATCCGGACCCTATATATCTTCCAATAATAGTATAACCTAAACATTATTTTGCAATTTCGGAGTTATAATGAACCTTGACAAAAAGCATAGGTTCATATTAAAATTATAGCCTCGATAAAGTAATGTAATTGTATTTCGGAGCACAATAAATGCACCTGCACTATTGCGCATTTTAAACTTATGAGTTTATCATGTGAAAGATCTTCATAGATACGTTAGAGGTAATTGAAAACTGAAATGAGGTTAGGGAGCCTACTATTAGATCACTACTACTGGAAATGTCTAGTACCTCCTCCGTCTAGAAGAGACATTTTGCACAAAATATACGCGCCTGACTACATAACTATCTGGTAGTTAATTAGAGAATTTCATGTGCTGAAGGGACTAGGATAACTAACTCCGAAGGTACTACCCAGATCAGTCAGTCCTAATAGAACTGATTCAGTCAACTCTGGGACATTCTCAACGCGGAGTGCTAATGCTCAATACGGCTCGAAGGACCAATGTTTAAGTTGCACATACCTGGTGATATGATTTTTTGATACAAACGCTGTTCCTTGTTTTTGACAAATTGTCAAAAAATATATCCTTATGTTAACTAAAAATTTCATTCAATTATCAATCCCTGGGATACAATGGTTCATATTTACCATGTATTTACAGACGTGTGATTTGGAGTGAATAAAATTTAAGACAATGTACTTTCAAAGGGAGATCTAAATCAATCATCAAAAAGGATCCCTTAGATAAAAGCTTGATATAACAAAAATTAAAGATATCCTACCTCGGAGCAACCATGTACAGGGTGTAGTTCTCAGTCACGTTGGTGCCCAACCACAAGGTGTACGTGAAAGATACGTTGCGGGCGTCAGAATCGTTGCTGGTATGGCCAGATTGGTAAGCCAGTTTCAGGCTGCCATCACCACCGTTGCTGTCTGAAAGTTCATCAAGCATATTATTGAGAATCGAATGAAAGATCTGTTAAAAAAACCCTTAGACAAAGGTAACACCTTAGACTTTGGATAATAATGTCTATAAACTAACCTGGCTTGATAGGCCTAAGAAAAAATGTAGTTCTAAACTAATAAAGATAGGATATGGCAGAATTTTCACATTAAATTTGTCATTAAGCAATGGGAATGATAGCACAGAATCCACACGACGTTTATTAAAATTCCGAGACATGACGAATGAACTCGTACAAAATGAATTTGTTTCCTTCGTGACATATGTATCAACAAAGTAGGTATGTATTACATGTTTACCTAAAGGTTCATGACGACTCTCCAACAATTTATCGCTGCAATGTGGAGGACGTACTGCTGCCAAAGATGCCGGTGTCAGAGCTGCAACCGCTGCAGCGGTCTTTGCTACGTCTCCCCACCCACCGTCGGGATTCTGACGTTCAAGGAGCCATTTGCGAGCTGCTGGAAGACTCCAGTGCTGGTGTGCACCTGGACCACTGTCTGAATCTTCGAGAGCCTGGAATTGTAATGTTTTTCAAGAAAATCAAAATATTGTTGGACACATATTTGTCTTTGAAGTAATAGTTTTAGAGCTGTCTAACACTTGCGAGTACTCGCAAAACTTTTTGATTTGAATGGAGTCAACCTGCAATGGTGGTAGATGGTCGAAGGCATCGTTAAGGAGTCGATGCCGGGACAGATCGGCGAAATCTTCTTATAAATAGATAAATTTAAGTTAAGACCTAATAGTTATTAGTCATACCTGAATAGCTAAAGCAGTAGTGGTAAGACTTCCAAAGCTGCCATCAGGGTGTTGCTGACGAGCAAGGCCGGCCATTGGTCGTCGAACGAAATGGAGCAGACTGCGATGGCGGTGGTCTTGAACTACGCAGCGCAAAGCGAGAATGACCATGGAGATCGTATCTGCAAACCAGTATAATACTTGTTTTGTGACCAAGGCGGATTTATTACGAAGATTGTGAAGCTATAAAAGCCTTTTTATTCTACTTAACCAACGCGACATGAATAATAAAAGCGGGGCGTAAAAATAAAGTAATCAATCTTGGTTTCATTTCGGTCTTATTGAATCAGATCCATCTTTTTCACAATACGAAATTGACAACACAAATAAACACCTTATGGCCCCATTTTCGTTGTTACGATTTAAGAGAAGCTTTTTTCGACCAGTAAAGGTACCGGTATTGGTTGTGTGATCCCAAAAATTTAACTTACCAAGACTATGGTCAGCAGCAGCATTAGCAATGTCCAACAAACGTCTTATATGGCGACGTCTAACATGGGCGGCCGAAGAACACGCAGCAAGGGTAGCATATGCAAACTCAAGGTCATGTGGAGGCTCTCGGTGGAGTAATGCAGCCACCAGGTCTCGGCCATGGAAGGAGCGAGGATCCTTGCAGAGAGCGCCGAGAGCAAGAGTGTAGGCAGCTAGGCGGCCCAGCGGTGGTGGAGATTCGTGGTGCCTTCAATAGAGATTAATTTTATATGTAGCAAACTAATGTGAGACTAGAACCTAGCAAGTACGGGCTAGAAAGAGTACCGAGTAAGCAATGCACACATCTCCCAAAATTCAACCCCTGATGGTTCCTAGGGCTGTGGTGAGGTGGAGAATTTGATGGTTAGCGTGGAATTTCCGTGATTTGTAGACGCGAATAGATACATTAAGTTATCAGGCCGAAGTGACAAGAACGCTGTCTCGAAAATATAAGATACATGATTTGGTTACCGGCATGAGCTTAAACTAAAAATTGTTCGTTTGTTGACTATGACAAACTAAGACATAGAATAAAAATAGCACATGCTTTATCGGTGAAAGAAGATGTGGTGAGAAATGGAAATGAAACGTAGGAAAAAAAATTACAAAAAACTCTTCGTAGAAATGTCAGTTCTCTGCTTGTAGTAAGCTAGCGTCTATAAAATACTCCGTCATACCTCAGCAACTGGGGTGTACGACCATAAGGTTATTATACTTGTAATAAGTATTATACCAGTCCTATTTTTTCACACTAATATGGCATGATCAATTGCAGAACTTCACTTTTGTAGAAAACTCTAGGATTAGGAAAGCAGGACGTGGACATACCATCTTTAGAGTAGCACTTACTTGGACATCATGAGCAGGATTTCGATTTCCATCTGCTTCGCTGACAGCTGCATCTCCAGGGCTTGTTGCTCGATCTCTTTGCCAGTGTTATTTGCCAGCTGTGACATTGACAATCGGTTATTATTGTTACAATAGGTACAGTAGGTAACTAACAACAGAAACAGGATATTTCCCTAGAAATGAAGAGCAGAGAGTCGGATTAAGGGATAGATAATTTTTTTTTTATAATTGAAGTAGGTTTATGTTCGCACTTGAATCGCTTGTTCATTACCCAGCATATTAAAAAGCTTGATTCTCCAAGAAAAGGGAAGAGTAGTTACCGATTGTAATTTAATGCTGCAGTAGTAGTATACAGAAATCTGTTGCTTTTCATCATCTGAATTTATCCCTTAGCTTAGCTTTTCTATGAAATAAACAAGAGCATAGACTGGTGATCCATTTGGGATTCCTCAAAAATTGTATACCTGAATAAGAAAACGTCCACCCACCTGTAAAGTCAACATGACGTGATGAGTATCGTTTCCCCATCCCCAATCCGCATCGCGATGCTGCAGCAAGTACTGCAGCGCCTTCTGTATTGCTTGACCCTCATTCAGGGTTTCTGTCTCCCAAGCAATGGTAGTGGAAGGCTGGTTGGTGCTGGTGGGGGATGATTTGGTTGTTGTTACAACCGTTGGTGTATCGGTTTCTTCTGAAAATGGTTAAGTGGTACGTAAGTTTTCAATTGACTTCATTCAGTAGATACTTTATAAGTTTCCATTTTATTATCTTCGGATATTTTAGGTGTTCGGATGATTATAATTCATTATTCATATGATTGTGAAAACACAGGTTGTACAGAATAAAATAATATATAATATATATAATGGCCATTTTTCCTAGAAGGGTTAAGATCTCTGATTTCGGTGGTCGAATTTGTTTTCTTAACTTCAGGAAAAACATTGAGCGAGAAGGAAAAAGAAGTCAAACTTACATCAGCTACCGTTAATTGGGCAACTAGGTTCTTAACAGTTAATGACATATTTGATGAAATCAGAATAATTTAATAAAACGCATAATTTTCGCATAAAATTTTATGAAAAAGGCAAAAAAACATTCAATAATCTACAAAAACATTTACTAATATGACTAACTATCAAATCAAGCTTTAAGAACTAAAATTAATTTATAAATCGAAGAACAGAACAACGCAAACAAATTTCACCTTATGATATACTACTAATGAAAATCAGTTTTCAGTTTGGTTGTTCAACCTTTTTTCTATCACAAAAAGTATTTCCGTATCACTTATGAAAAAAAAATTTAGTACGCCATCTGCAGCTACAAAAGGAATCAGTTTTTTTGGAACTTGCGCGATTAATATCTTTCATTACTTTTTATACATGACGAGGTAATTAATGCATGTAACTTCAAAATCTTTCCTTCCGCTTTTTCTTCGCATACCTCTGTCTAATGTTTCTTTTAAACCTTTCATTATATCGCTTGTTATTTTTGCTTTACTAGTTCGTCCCTGCATCTTCTTGATTTCCAATTTTTCTATTCTGTTTTGATTTTCTTTATTCATTTTCACCGGGAAGCAAGTACTAATATAAAATTGTGAAAATGAATAATATTTACTAAACATTTATACGAAAAAACGTATAAAATTCTTCCTTTTCAGAGAAAATATGGCTTTGATGTCAGGTTTTTCCTACTTCGGCGGAAGCTTTTCTGAATTCGGCGGCATAAATTCCACCGAAACCAAGGCCACGGGATTCAGAAAATATATATATTATTGATATTTCTCGTAAACGACATAACTTTTAAAACCAATAAATTATTTTTACACTCTTTTTGTTACAACACATGTTATAAAAAATATTATATGTATACATTTGCTTTTTGAAATATCGTATACATCGAATTCAGGAATCAACCTGGATCAAATCCACCGAATTAGATATTTACATGCTAGAAGTCCTAAAATCGGCAACAAATCATCCACCTGTTCTCTCCAGCCGTAGGGGCGTAATGGACGAATAATATGAACGAATTGCGAAGCTTCTAAAATGATTCACCGGTGATGTGTAGCGTGATTAGTAACGACCACCGAATTCCAGAGTAAACTTGAGGCACGTAGCAATCTTGGTATTGTGATAAAACTATTGTCTAGTTTATTGTGAAATTCAGATTATTATTAGCATCTAATTTATTATATGAGAACTAAAGTGTATGCAAGTAATATTGATATACGGTTTCAATTTTGAGAAAAAATTACACTTTGTGTTGCATTGTGCATTCGGGACGCGCCACCGTTGTCAGGTTTTAAGCATTTCGGATTTTTTTTCCATTAGGTCCGAAAGGTTTATTGGGTGGATTTTGTACTCTCCAGTTTGCTTTCGACCTATATTATACACTCTATTTTTTTTAGATGTTTGTTTTGATAAATAAATGGAGTTACTAACGAGATGGAACATGTTTTTTCATATATTATATCAGAAGGGCTAGTACAACAGGGCATGACTTGTGTGAGAGCAACATAGATGCGCACTCTATCGTTACGTATCGTGCTAACTCTACTGATGGGTGCGCATAGACTTAATGAGTTAGTTTAAACACGGTAATATTTATTTGGATCAATTTTTAATATAATTCATAAGATATTTATTACCCTGAGAAGAATATTGGGTGAAATGTTTGGAATAACATTGGTTGTGTCAATTTAAAAAATTTTTAAAGCACGAAAAGGTCTGAAAAAATTGTAATATTAATTTAACAGTGTAATTCAAGCAAGATTTGATCATTTGCAAAAAAAAATATTTTTTTGTTTTTTTGTGTCCGTAGTAGTTTGTGTGAATAAAATGACTGGTTTGGAGCGTTTGTTCAATGTCTGAGTTAGGGCAAGACAACTAAACGTACTAGATGGCTTAAATGGACTAGAAGGCCGACCTAGTTTAGTCGACCGATTGAACTAGATAGGATCGCTCCCTTTAAAGACCAATCAGGCACAAGTCTACTAGGCGATAAAAATAGGTAAGCTGGCAGTATTTCCACTGGCGGATTTGCTCTAAGGCCCACTAGGCCCGGGCCTAGGGCGGCCAGATTTTAGAAAAAAAATTCGCTGATAATAGCAAGCAATAACTCAAAGTATCTAAATATTCTAAAGGCTCACGCACATTATGGCAAGCCGCACTGCACCGCATCGTAGAACAATAATCTTCCTAAATCACTTTCGTACATTTTATGTATAAAATATAGACAAGTTACATATCTATAATGTAATGTATAATCACTACATCAGTACGTCTGTCTGTCTGTCTGTCTGATTGCGATAAACTGAAAATCTACTGAACGGATGTTGGTATTGACTACATGGCCTGGGGCTTATGCCTACTTCTCTGGTCGAACTCTTTTACAAGGAGCTGTAAAAACTCTCAATCTTCTCAGGGCAATGTATCTTATAAACGAGTTTAAATAAAAGTAAAAAGTGATTAAATAATCTTGCTAATATTAATTTCTGTAACTATAACGTCCTCCTCATCCGACATCAAGTATCCGACAACATGATAAAATATCTTACCAGTTTGTGCGTAAGCCGTTGTTACAAGTAGCAATAGAGCTAGTGTTGGTAAGTAGAATCCGGCCATCTTGACGTAGGGTATCTGAAACAATCATAGAAAAGTAAGTTAGCCAATCGTTGTAGTTTTATATGACTAGCTTGTCAATTACAGTTTAGTAGACATATGAATTACAACTATATTTTCGGATCTAGATATATTTGTCTTTTCAAACAATTCAATGTTTCGGGTCATTTACAGATCCCTTGGTCGCGGCTGACAGTCAAAGTGCGGAAAAAAGTTTAATTACAAAAGTATGCAACACAAACGAAAGCCTGAGAATATGATATAATAGGGGTTAAAGTATGAAATTGCCGATTTGTACTGAAAATCTAAATTGTTTATTTTTTAAATTTTTAATAAATTTATTTAATCAAAATAGTTGCCATTATTATCTATACATTGCTGCCATCTAATGGGAAGGTTATTAATGCCTTTGCGATAGAACTCCGACGATCTAGACTGCACAAACTGTGTGAAAGCATTTTGTACTGCCTCCTGGGAAGAAAACTTCTTGTCACGTAGATAATTGTCCAAATCACGAAAAAAATGGTAGTCCGTTGGAGCAAGGTCTGGTGAATACGGAGGATGACGAATGGTTTCTAACTGCAGTTCCTGAAGGGTCAAAATGGTTTCTCGTGCTGTGTGAGGTCTCGCGTTGTCGTGGAGCAATAATGGTGAAGATCGATTCATGAGTCGGGGCTGTTTTACTGCTAGTTTTGTCAACATGGTTCGGAGTTCGGCACAATAGACATCTGCCGTTATTGCTTGACCAGATCGGAGAAACCATTGTGAATAACACCATGCTGAGACCACCAAACAGTTACCATTACCTTTTTATTGGTAAGTTTTGCTTTAGGACACTGTTGTGGCATTTGACCTGGGGTCAGCCATTGCATTTTTCTTTTCCGGTTATCATAAAGAATCCACTTTTCATCACATGTTACAATTCGATCCAATATTCCTTCATTTCTGTACCGGTTCAACAAGGCAACACAAGTTTCAACACGCGTTTCTTTCTGCAGATCAGTCAAATCATGAGGCACCCATTTTTCGTATTTTTTTATTTTATTGATTTGACGCAAGTGAGTCAATATTGTGGGTAAGGTAACGTTAAACCATGCCGCTAATTCCTGGGTAGTTTGACTAGGATCGGCTTCCACTATCTCTCTTAATTCATCGTTATTCACCTGTGTGGGCGGTCTTCCTCGTGGCTCGTTCTTTAAGTCGAAATTTCCATCACGAAAGCGTTTAAACCAAAATCGCACGGTGCGTTCATTAGTAGACCCCTCTCCAAACGCAGCATTGATATTGCGGGCTGTTTCTGCCGCGTTAGTTCCGCGTCGGAACTCGTATTCAAAAATCACTCGAATTTTCGCAGTATCCATCTTTCTTGTCTAAATTGAATAACAAAAACAATTGAAAGTCGATATTCAAATGTTTCAAATTAAAAAAAAAAAAATCACAGAAACCATTTGAAAAAAGTTTCATTCGAAAACCTCAAACCATGAAGATTCTATGAAAATTCAAAGAACCTATTGCAATAAAACGGCAATTTCATACTTTAACCCCTAATATATAAGATTATCAGTAGCCTTGATCTTGAAACTGACGTCAGAGTCGAGATTTTGTTCCTTTATTTTTGAACTGTATTATAGTTTCAAAGGACACTAGTTTCAAAACTTATAATTATCGCTGTTGCCCAAACCATATCCCGGAATTATTTACACTACGTGGCTTACTTGATATTTGGGTAAATAAATATACCACATTTAGTAGCAGAGCTTCTTGTAAAACAGTTCGCCCGGGGAAATATGGCAGTACTCGACTAATTTCATAATCTTTAAATCTCTCTCCTGAACATTCTCATTTCGCAAATTTCTTTTATAAGTGATGGAACGAACAAGTCGTGTGGCTGGTGGTAAGCGACACGCCTGTACCTAACAATTGCAGTGCCACTCAGGGGGTCTACTCCCGATCTCCGTCCGACATCCGTCCGAAACAAATAAGTAAAGTGCTATATTCGTAATGAGCACCCCCAAATACTTCGAAAACGATACCCAACTTGCCATTATTCGAAAAATCGTGCCCGCCATCTTGGATTTAGAAGTGAGTGCCATATTCGTATTGAGCATCCTCAAATACCTCGAAAAGAATACCCAATTGCATTTTTTTGAAAAATCGTGTCTGCCATCTTGGATTTACAAATAAATGCTATATTCGTAATGAGCACCCCCAAATATCTCGAAAACGATACCCAACTTGCCATTATTTGACAAATCGTGCCCGCCATCTTGCATTTAGAAAAGTCGTGTGAGCCATCATGTATTCAGATATAAATGCCATTCCCATAAGGATTACCAAAAATAAACTTTTGAAAATTCTTGGCAACCATCTTGGATTTAGAAATTAATGCCATATTCTCAATAAGCACTCCCAAACAACTCGAAAACGTCTATAATTCTCGTTGTCGATCGGCAGTGTCGGTTATACGTTGTCTATTATAATAATACGTTCTAGTATTCTTTTTAATTTTTTTTTCAGTTTTAACAAAATAAGTGAAACGAAAACGAAAACGTTTCTTCGTCAGAATCCATCGTGTAACTGAGTCGAAAGATAAAACATCACTAAAAATTTGGTTGCACTTCAGCCGCGCTGCAACCGCGCGACGTTGCAGCAGCGCTGCAGCAGTGCTACAGCCGCGCGCCGGCCGCGCGATTGTCACTGTTCATACAATTTCTAGAAGCGCTGCAACCGCGCGGCGGCCGCGCGACCGTCGCGCTGCTGCAGCGCGTCTGGAATTGTATGAAAAGTGATAGTCGCGCGGCTGCAGCGCTGCTGCAGCGCGGTTAACAGCGGCTAATTTAAAGACTCTGCTTCTAGTCCTGTCTGATCGAAGGAATTTTTCTTTGTGTTCGATATTTGTATTCATAATCGGGACTAGCTGCGACGAAGAAGGTTCTAAAATTTCTCACTATAAGACAGAATGCCGAAAGATCCAGTGCACAGGTCTTTAACAAAAAACACATAGGATAATATCGAGTTCTTAGGTTTTCGCGATTGTTACCCATAGGAAATGAAACTATTTTTCCGAATTGGAATCGCGTATTGAAATCCGGGAAAATAGTTACATTTCACATAGGATAATTTCGACAACTCGATAACTTGACCCGTAGCTCAGTTGGTACGAGCAATATTACGATGCTGTATGGTCGTGGACTCAAATCCCATCGAGTCGAAAAAGATTTTCTATGTGTTCGATCTTTGTATTAATAATTATAACAAACTAGTGGAGTAAATTCACAAAAAATAAATAAATATCATAATATTCATTAAAATCAATGTTACAGATAATAGATTTCTGATTTCATTCTATTATTATTTTATTATAGTGGTAACATTGAAACGTATTCGGCAAATGTTGCCAAGGCTTATATTAACATTTCCGATGCCCTAAATAAAAGCCAGCACGATTAAATCAACATCATATCAAAGCCTATCGATTGGTTGCCAATGAAAGGAACGAAATAACATTATAAACGAGCTTTGGTTTCGGGCCTCACAGGCATATCGCTTTGTCATCTTGAAGGGTGGCTACGTTTTCCATTTAATTTTTTAATAATGGGAGAAAAAAAATCCCTTAATTTATGTAACAGCGCCCATTTCGTAACTAGTAGAACCTTTGTTATAAATACAGAAGATATTTCGACAAATAAAGTTATTGATCTTAGAATACATTTACGGACGTTTCAAATCTCCTTTGAACAATTAATATGCATACAATCCCCAATTATAACAGTGAAAAGAAACAAAAGAAACTGTTGGCATAAATTAAAACTTCCCCCAGTAGTATATACAGATCTGGTCCACACTCAATGGCAATTCAATAGAGATGTTTCGTTGTTGGTACTAAAATAAATGGAAAATTTAATCAGGCTATCAGTGGGATTTTTGTAAAGTATTTTTTGACCTGCAATTTCTAAACAATCGTTAAGGATTTTTAATACCGTGTAACGTAAAATGGAACGGAATTCCATGGAACGAAACAGATTTTATGTAATTGTTTGACAATGACAGATCAGATGTCAATGTCATTATTGTTACAAAAGAAAGATAGGAAAATAAAAATTGAAGATTTATCTTGATGGATTTATTCCGATGCCGTGAAACTAATATTTAAAAAAAATTGAGTCAAATAAATTTATTTCAAGTTTTTGAATAATTTAGCGTTTAATTGTTGCTGCTTTTTGGACTTTTTTTAGAATTGTTGCTGATAGTTATACAAACATGTCTACCACATTTTTGTTTTAATCAATAAAAAACAAATATATGTCACCTTAGAATAATAACGCATAGAAACCTAGTCCGCACATGCTAAGTGAGGCAAATTGAAGCGCTCCCAATGGGCCTACACGAGCGGGCGGGCCTTCAGTGCTCAAAGTCAACTTGCACCGCGAACAGCTCAAGAATTTTAGCTAAAAATGACGAAATGTGCGGTAAATGAGTGTAAAAATACGTCAGACAAACATAAAATAGATACTAACATCACATTCCACAAGGAAGTAACGCGTTTCAACTTGTATTTTTATATAAATATTCATTAAAACCGAAAATTAACCTACTACTAAAACTAGCCTACATGAATTTGATTTTTGCCTCACTTGTGACAGTTCGTTTAATATGATACTATCATTCTATGCGTTATTATTCTAAGCATGTCACAATATTTTTTTAATATTCCACTAAGTTCTTTGTTTCAAGCTTATATCTAGCAAAAAAGCTGAGACTGGTTAAATTTTTCTGAGAAAAAAGTACCAGGCTCCATACTAATTCGGTACTAGTCTTTTAAGCACCTTGAAAAGGAAGAAAAATAGTCAAAATTTATCACAAATCTAAAACAAAATACACGCTTTTAAAATATAGGAAATATTTAAAAAAAGATAAACGCAATCAATAAAAATGGAAGTATGTTAATTTGCTATTTGCTACCCAATTTGGGTTCGCGGAGTAGCAAATAAGTTACTTCCATTTTTATTAACATGGAC